TTTTCTCCACTTGGTATGAAAAGCATGTCATTCAATAGCTAAAAGCCTGATCTTTCCGAATATGAAAACCAATTGTATATATATATATATATATATGTATAGTTTTTCGTTTTAAGTAAAACGAAAAACTATATTACGCTCTATCTATATGGTATTGAGCACTGTTTGTGTTTCGTAAACCAAAATCTTAAGCTATAGATATATATATATATATATATATATATATATATATATATATATATATATATATATATATATATATATATATATATATATATAGTGAAATGTTGCTGATAACAAGATACAAGTGTTGTATATAGAAAAGATTTCAATGTGCAACCAAAAGAGACATTTATAACGTAAAATAAAATAAAAGCCACTCAAATTTTGCACAAACGTTTTCGCTTTAATGTTAGCTCCTCAGGTGCATATTTACAATGAGTGGAATTTAGTTAGTTTATCTATTATCTACGTTCTATGATATCATATTATAATAACTATGTGAGGAATGCATATATTTACATAGTGTGAAGTCACCTGTTAAAAACATTCTATTGATCTAAACATAAGCATAAACTTAATGGTTTTTTAATTAGCGTTCAGATCCGGATTCAGTATACTGATAAGTTATTTTTCTTTCATCTCCCTAAAAAGTCTGTCCGTGTTAATGCATTGATATATAGTGTCACTCTTTTTCGTAAGTTTTCTGTCTGGCCGACGCAGAAGCTGTCGCATTTTGAGCAAATGATCACGGAAATGACATATCTCGCTTTGCAGTTCATCGTCGAATTGACTTTCCAGGCTTTTCCGCTCTTTAATGTAATAGACTTTCCTGTGATTAAAATATCGCATGTTCCACATCGCTTTTTCTCGCATTTTGTTACAGAGTGTTCTCTGTCCTCTGAATTGAATTGTGCTTTTGTCAAGTATCGCTTCAAGTTCTTCGGTTGACGTTTGCTTACAATGAGTTTTGTTTTGTCTAATACTCGTTTCATTTTCTCCGAATTGTTTAGAAATTTAAAGTTCTCCCTTATTTTTCCAATTACTTGAGGATTGTTGGGATTATGAGTTATTACTAAAGGCAAGACATTGTCATCAGTTTTATGTTTTGGTGCCCTCAATTCCTCAATGTTTTTTGATGAAGCCTTCTGTATTCCGTTTTTTATAAGCAATTTCGGATAGTTCTGCTTTTGTAGGAAATATATATATATATATATATACATATATATATATATATATATATATATATATATATATATATATATATATATATATATATATATATATATATATATATATATATATATATAAACCAAACCGAAGATCTTCGTGGTGGATTGATTTTTTTAAAGAAATGGCAGCAACTGAGGTGCTTGATATTGGCAGTGAATTTCACCTTGAATGTCTTTGGTTTGGTTTTGAGTCGCTTTTACAAAATGACCTAGATAAGGTCAAGAATCACTGGAACACACACAGAATACGACGTTCAAAATATGGTACAGTTCCAGGTGTGCCTGATATATTGGTTTTTTTCTGCCTCAGCGTTCAGGTGCTGTAGAATGCAAAGTTAATTGCTGTTATAAATGAGCAAACAGCAGCAATGGGAAACCATGCACAAATTCTGGTTATTGATGAGATGAATATATTCCAAGAATAATTTCATTATGTAATGGACAATGAAGCTTTACCTTATCCGAGTGATCATGTAGAAGCATGTGATCTATTTGAGTATTTAATAGCTGTCGGTGACCCTTTGCAGTAATACACAGTAGCTGCACTAAAATGCTGAATGAAGGATAATTGAATTAAAGTGGAAGTCAAGTCCGTATGTAAACAAACGGTTTGTTTACATTTTGAACTGCTGTATTTTTTTTTAAAATGATGTTCTGTCTAAATATCTAACACCATTTTGGTTCACTATGCTTCTAAATGAATATGAAGTATAGTTTATGTTCAGAAAAATACGAAACATTCGAAAATTTGGGAAATGTTTACATTAGAGGGTCCTCACATTGTTTTGAGCAGAACCGATGTGCAAGACGGACTTGACTTCCACTTTAACATTACATTTCCCCATATAATAACTGCATTTTGTAAATGTTGCAAGGTATGGTTATTGCTAATTGCACCTCACTACTAGCACAAACTGGTGTCACTTATAACACTGTAAAGCCAAAAAAAGAAATACCCAAATTTCTTGTTTTAAAAATTTAGGTAGGGTTATAGTACACAATATACTTTATACTTTATATAACTATAGCTGCAGAGACACAATTATTGCTCCAAGTTCTTTGCAAACGATAAAGAGATCGGGGTCGGTGATTTTAGTGGCCAAAAGGGTGGAGAAACCGAAAACCCGCATATTTTTTATTTGGTCTATAATCACTAACTTACATTTCATGCTAACTTGTTAAGATGAATGTGCTCAACTTTCAGTACTTTTTTATTTTACCTTGTCTAACACCAGATCATTTTACTTGAAAGAGAGTGGACAACTTTGATAGGTTACCTTGTTGTCTCCCTGTGTTTTGTGTAAACTCATTAAGACCCAATTCACAAATTCACACTAATGTGCTCTATTTCAAAGCTCACTATTTTGCCCTGTTAATACCAGACTATTTTGCATTATTTGGCATTAGCATATTTAGATGCAATTCACCCTAACACTCAATCCCCACTTTCAGTACTTTGATATTTATCAGATGATTTTACTCATCAAAATGAATGTTGGTCATTGAAAGGTTAATAATTAACTGCAAAAGCTGCTGTGTGGCATATTTAGAAGCAATGCGCCCTACTTTTAGTACTTTGTTATTTTACTGTGTTTATTCTATTAAAGTGCTAGACTCTCCACTTAGAGTAAAATAATAAATTGGGTGCATTTGGGCATATTTAATAGGTTAACAAAACACATTGGAATGGTATACATAAAATAAATGTATTTGTCTTTTTACAGCTACCAACAAAGTATGGATGTAAGGCCTCAGAGGTTCGTCAACATATGAGGACAGATATAAACAACATGGGAAAGTGTTGCAAAGTACAGAAAAGCAAACAAGAACAACAACTTATTTGAGGACTATGTTTTGAGGCCAGTTTTAAACTTAACTTTAAATGTCAATTATGGTTATTACCTATGGTTTAGCCCATTAAGTGCCAGCGCTCTGACGAGTAAAATCGTCTGGCGTTAGACAGAGTAAACTATAGTAAAATAATAAAGTAGGGCGCATCAGGGCGCAATGTGATTCAATGGGTTAACTAGACATATATAGGAATATAGGCTAGTTAACCCATTCAGAGCCAGCATTTCCCCTTGACATCCAAGTACAATTGTCTGGAGTTAGACAGAGTAAAATAGTCTGGCATTAGACAAAGTAAAATAGTTAGACAGAGTAAAATAATAAAGTAGGACGCATCATATGGCATTGCATTGAGGTAGAACGATTAATTTGGCATAATAGGTGAAAACTATAATTGATTTAATTGTAATGTTTAGTATAACCAATTTCTCATATTAATTTTTATATTTGCAATATTAATTAGTATTTATTAATATTTATATCTATTTTTTGCATTAAAAAATTAAGAGTGATGAACAACATTGTCTGTCATTTACTATTATTTCATCTAGATTCTAGAATTTCTGCAGGAATACCAAAAATCTTATAGGAAATTAGAATGAATTATTTTCTTATAGGAAATTCCTATAATAATTTGGGACTAGACTTGAGAATTCTTATAGGAATTCTTCCTATTAAATTCTTATAGGAATTCCTGTAGAAAAAATTCCTATAGGAAAGAATTCCTATAGGAAAAATTCCTATAGGAAAAATTCCTATAGGAAATTTTCGTAAGGGTTGGCCTGCAAGCCTCCCTTTCATATAAATTGTGAGCCAATTGCCTTGCGTCTTTTACTCATGAGAGCGAGGCTCCCAGGCCAAAAAAAGTAGTCATGACGTAATTATCGAAAGGGTCTATTCCTTCACAAACATATCCTAAGACTATATAATTAATATAAACATAATTGATGAGTAAAGCCGGTCTGACAACAAATGACTGACCCTGGACTTGGTGTGTAGTTTTATGAACTTTCATACCTTCATTTGACTCAAGTGACTGAATGAATTCACAAAAGTACTTGAACACATCAATCTCCTTTTCTTTCTGCAGTTGTGATTGGCTGTGCTTAACTTCCAGATCATCAAGAAATTCATCTGGTGATTTGGCTTTAGAACTACCACAGACAAAAGCTACTTTCCAAAGGTTGGGACACTTTTTGATACTTTTCAAAATACCACAACTGGACAATCCTTGTTCAAGCTGCATCAGTTGAGGCATAATATCACTGATTTGACTTTTGATACAAATGGATCTTGATTAGAATGAAAAATACATTAATCAGTCAGATCACCTAGCCAGGACTGATTTATGTACAATTTTTTAAACAAAAATGGTATATTACTCACTGAATGATGTTTGCAGTTGACATGATAGTTTCTCGATGACGAACACCAGTATAACCTATGTTTCCTAAGACTGTGAGTATATTGTCCGATATCAGGACATTGTGTAATTCGTCATCAGATTTTGCTCCTATGAGCTGTTATTATAAAGGACACACAGTTAGCAAGTAGTAATTTATTGTCGGGGTGATGGTCGAATATAATTAGAGGGGAGGGTAGTCATGAATAAAAAGCACTTAGGAGGTAAACAATTAAAATACAATGATAAGAAAGTGCTGTACTTCATATGACATACAGTATTGCTATATACGTACACTATGCAATACAAGTATATCTAGCAATTTTTAATTCTGCCTTAACCTACCTGGCTTGCTGCTGCTTTGTAACTTGGTTCTGGAATATCTTCAATGCATAATTTCTGGTTTGTTATGAAATTAAATACAGCTGGATGTAAAAATGCTGGGACATGCAGGTCCACCTTGTAATATTGACATCACCATCACTTCTCCTGCACACTTAAAATCCTCATTTTGAAGAGCAATTATTGAATTTACTGGCTTTCCATTGCTGAATAGTTTTGCCTCAACATATTCCAACATTTCTAAATTAAGCAGATTTATCATACTAAGAATTCAATGTCGCTGGCCATCTTTTTCATAGACTTCTGATAAAATAACTGTTTAATTATATTAACCCATTAAGGATCAGGCTCCCTACAGTTTCCAATATATATCAGTGTTTTAAGCTAGAAGCTATTTGAATCTAAAAAAAACTTTTTGCACAAGCCATTGTTTCCTCTTATATAAAAATGTAATTTTAACCCACAATCGCTACTCTTCACATTACCATGACAACATCAAGTCATCATCTATATGGTCCATATCAACAAAAAAAGCTGTCTTAGCGGACAAATAACCACGGTGACCTACCTTTTTTATTGCAGAAAATACATTGTTATGAAGTTTTGAATCTTTTTTGAAAATTATTTGAAAATCGCCAGTGTAGTTTTCGAGAAACTGAATTTCAGCCTTTCCAAAGGCTAAAATGCAATCTTAAGAGGCTGTCTCCGTAAAAACCTCCAGGTCAGTATGGGGCTCAAAAATAGATTTCTCTCATACTCTAGTATTTTGAAGATCTATCCTTGGGAACAACTAAAATCGATGTCATTTTACTCAAATTTCCTTTAAATTATTTTGGGGGGCGATTGATGTTCGATCGACTGGTAACCAACTTGATACTCCGAATGAAGGCCAAATATCGACATATTTTCAGCGCTATTTTTTAAATCAAATTCATACCTAAATTTCAAAATTTTGCTCAGAAATATAGACTTATCCTTCTATTTTCGCGGGTGATATGACTTAGATCATTATTCTTTGGTATAAAATAGAAAACAGCGCAGTTATTGACCCTCCTGAACGGATAAAGGATATCGTCTCAAAATATGTCAACTTCGAAAGCTTATTTCAAAATCGTGGCACTTGATTGGCACATGACTTTAACTTTTCTATAAACTACTAACATTAGTCAACACAAATCGCCAATAATATCTTTCTGTTCTACCATTTGACAAAAATGACAAGCGCGCAAACTTTGTAAAATTTGAAAATGTGTCGAAATCGAGCATACTTTATCGGTAAACATAATTCTTGATATTAACAAATAAAACCACCTTACACTACACTGAATGAAGCTTGATTATGTAAATATATGTCTTTCATCATTATTCTTTGGTTTTGCACTCGAATGAAATTGTTTGACTGTACAGTTTGGCTTCAAGGATAGTCATTCAATGCCAGTGTGTCCAGTGTGTTCAAATTCTGCGCGCCTCAATGCCATGACGGCATCAGTCCTGATTGTTACATACGAACTTCGCTCTGTTCGCTTTGTTTACCTCCTGTAAATAAAATGTCTCAAAGAAATTAGAAAATTCAGAATTAGTCATACTACAGACATAACTTTCATTGGTTTGTTTACCTTAAACTGTTATATAAAGTTTCGTTTTATAGAATGTACGAATTAATCTTGGGGAAAACTCCTAACCGAAAGAAATGGACTCGCTGAGCGTAAACATGTCAATCAAATGACAATGAAA